TATTTAAAGGAAGTTAGAACATAAAGGCATGTTCTTATGCTAACAAAGTTAATTACAGCTTGTAGTGATGTAATTAAACAAGAAGAGTCAAATTCAAGCTAAAAAAGTGGACTAGTGGTCAAAGACTATACAATTTAATTTCTCCTTAAGCTGACTCAGTAACTCTATTATCATAACAAATTCAAATGTCAGCAGCGGTTATGCAAGGACGAATAATTAAAAATTATAAGAGCTGGCAGGAACTAATACAAGGAACAAATGGAGGTCAGAAACATATTGTCTTATACTGCAAAAATCTCAGTTTTAAAACTGTCTAAGTGATTTGTATTCTGGTGAGAAAATAGAAATGGAAAATTATAGTAAAGGTTGAAATTTTAAACAACTGGGTAATTTACATAATAATAACTGTACATATCTTTGAAGAATAATTTTCTTTCTCTTTATGTATTCGGCTTCTTTCTTCCATGTTTCCTTTCCATTTTAGAATTTATTTAAAGATTTCTGTTATTCTAAAAAAACTAAATGCATTTAGAATGTATAGAAAAAGCTGCTAGTTTTATTTCTCTAGTAATAAGAAAATTCAGAAGAAATATGGAAATAAGTAAAGTCTAAGGTCCAATTACAGAGATGGTGTGGCATAATTTTTAGAATTTAGTGACACACCGAGCAACAAAATTTAGAAATGGCAAAACTTTTAGAATTTAGAACAGGTATTGGAGGCAGAATTTAGAAAGGCACCAAGCAGCAGAATTTAGGATCCACAGAGATTGCATTAGGTGGGAAAACGCCTGGTGCCAGATCTGTGCATGATGCATTAAGATATATTAAATGAATCGTTTAAATTGTCAGTTTTCAATTTCGTTGTTAATAAAAAAACTTCTTTTCTATAATGCCTGTCATATGATAAGATTAGGAGCATTTTTTTATATTTTCCATGCTTGTGACTAATGAAAAGTAGAGAAAATAAAGGGAAGATAAAAATGTTAAGGAAAAAATTCTAGTATCAGAAGTATAACATTCAACTATTATGCTTTCATTGTTCTTCTAGATGTTCTCCAGGAAGTAAGAAATTATGTGTTAATACCATGGAGTCATTTTTCATTTTGTCACATTTTTCTGGAATCTTCTAGAATTGTGGGTCTAGAAATCTTGCCTTCAAATCTTTCTAAACTTTCCAAGCAGCAATGTCTAAAATCCTAAGGAAAAACTACCCCTACCAATTCTGTAATATCAAAAAGCCAAAAATATTTCGGGGGGGGGGATCGGAGGGAAAAAAGCGTAAAATTAATTTTATAGAGAAAACTGATGCATATTCTGAGACAATTACATTGGAAAACTCTTACCATGAAAAAATTAAAAAGACATTTTCAATTAATTACATACTATTTTCTTATTGCTAAGAACTATTTCATAAATTGCACTGCTGTAGTATTATACCTTGCTTATTTTTCAGATTCAAAATATTGTATGATAAGTGGCCAAAATGAAACTTATAATATGACAGCAAAAAATAAAAATGCTTTACTTTAATGTTATTTCTTAAATTTCACCTTAAGCTGACTCAGTAACTCTATTATCATAACAAATTCAAATGTCAGCAGCGGTTATGCAAGGACAAATAATTACAAATTATAAGAGCTGGCAGGAACTAATACAAGGAACAAATGGAGGTCAGAAACATACATTACAATACATTATTTTAATGAAATTTATCAATGTTATAATGTTCTAAAATAAGTCGTCGAAAAATTCCCAGATCTCAGATTTAAAAATTTCTATAGAAACTTATCTTAAAATCGTCAAAATGTTGATAAGTCACCAAATTTAGAACCATTCAATAAAAGAAAATAAAAGAATTTACATCCTCAAAAGCGAAAAGTTGTTTAAGAGCTCTTCATTAGAAAAAATGAAATAATTTCGAAATGCTTATGTCTCACTTCTTGCTCAGAAACTCTATTCCACATTTATATTTAAGATAGGAACAAATTATAACCCATTCAAAAGATAACCATATTTGTCAGCGAATCGATAAAAATATTTCTCCAAAATGCTAATTCACACTCAAAATGACAGTCATAAAAAGAAACAGAAATTTCAGATGATTAAAATTAAGGACCTTCTGCCTATTTTAGCTGAAATTAAGGACTTTTAAGGACCTAACGAACCTTGGAACTGTATGGATAGCTTCAATTGAAAACTTTTTGAATTTTTCATATTTTTTCTGGAGTTTCTGCAAATTTAAACAAGACATTTATTAACTCTTAAAATCATCCACAATTAGCTCATCAATGTTCATCCATGTTTGGATGCTAGGATTCACATACCATCTGTAAAGAACTACACTTTTACATTACTTTTATCTTTAACCCACTTTTCTCCGAGTTTAAACAAGGCTCCTAAAGACGCAATTTTAGAAAACATGTATAAACATATCTTAGGACACCCTATGGTGTTAGTGGGCAATGAATCAAAAAAACATGCATTCGTATTCCATTCAAATTCTTTAGCTCTATTCAAGTCAGATGCTATAATGGAAAATTTTAAAGTTTTGCTCTTCAGGGAAAGAGGAAGTATTGAATCATATGAGCTTCAGGTTACACAGTTAGTTCGACTTCTAGGGAATGAAATTTTGATCTTTTTCACTTTGTTTTATTTTAGTTCAAATGCTGTTTAAGTTATGTTGTTTGAATAAGGGTGTTGTATTCTTTAGGTCTTTTGTAAAACACACATTATAGAATTTTTGTATTGCAACCATGGTCAAAATTTTCCTGTTGTACAAAGTCAACTTTTATCATGCTAGAAGATTACATTTTATTTTTGTCTTTAGATATTTTATCGTGCACAATTATTTCCATATAGTGAAATTGGAACAATCATCAACAAATTTAATGACTGACAATTTTTAACTTCTGTAGAAATAGATGGCTTACAGAAGATGACGATTATTTATTCGCATAAAAAATTAATCCTATTCAAGTTTTCTTTGATGTTGATAAAAGAAAATCCTGGAGTAATAATAATAATAATAATAATAATAATAATAATAATAAAGGACTTAGATTTAATTATATTAATACTGAAATAAATGAGACTGAGATGTTTGAGTTTTTAGATGTTACCAGTTGCACAGACAGAAAGCAAACAAACAAACAAACAAAAAAAAAAAAAAAAAAGTAGTGTAAACTGTTCAGAAATGTGATGAGACATTTAAAAAGTATTGTTATAGCAATCCCCATTAAGCCTATAAAATGCATTATAAGTGCCAAGAAAGGCCAAACTGAATAATGTTATATTTAAAAGAAAATCTATTAGTTTTCATATAGTTTTGTTTATACAGTAAAAATTGAATACTTGAGTTGTACAAAGTCAACTTCCGGATTAACCGAGGATGGGTATATTAAATGAAATCTATATAAAGAAATGGGAGGATAAGGTTTATTTATCATGGAAAAAAAAATTTTTTGACCACAAACCATCAACTTAAAACAAAACTGTATATCAAAAATATAAAAGACAAAAGAAAATTTTATAGATAATAACATAAGCAATGTCATAGTATTTGGGTGTTGTTTTTATGCATAACAGTAGTTATTTTAAATGTATATAATTAGGAATATACAAAGACTGAACAATAGCAAATAAAACGTTCTAACCTATTTTTAAACTAAATCTGAAACTGATGACATCATTGAAGTTTCTTACAAACATTGTTTCTTTAATGCCATTTATAACATAGTTTCCACATTTCTAATGATCAGAGCCAGATAATGATAAGGCCCTAAGCTACTTGAGATATGGAGCCCTTTATAAGTCTTTTATATTATATTTTAATACTATTTATACTATATTATAATTTTTTGGGGGCCCCGCAAAAAGGGGGCCTCAAGCTATAGCTTGTGTAGCTTATATGTAAATTCGGCCCTGCTAATGATGAATCTAATGAATAATATTTTAATTCTTAATCAGAAGCTTTTGAAAAACAGAAAATGAAAATCATCAGATGAATTTTTATAGTACAGTCATTTCAAGTCACATTTTTAATGTCTACAGAAAGTCTTATATAAAGCATTCACGACAAACTGTTACTACAAGTGAAGCAACTAAAGTAAGTTGCACTTGAAATTAAGGTTTAAAAATAAAAAAAAAATAATAATTTTATTTTAATTAAAGACATAACAGATTTCTTTACTACTATAGTTTCCCTGTTCAAGAATAAAATTCTTTAATCAGCTGTTGAAATCATTTGAAAATATTAATGTGAATATTCTCCCAGTAAAGTTCTAGCTGCACAACAGTTATTATTAATGCAATAACTAAGAAAAATATTCAAATTCTTGATACTATATAAAATATGAAGCCTTGCAATTTGCAGTACACCTTACACATGCGCAGCACAACTTTGATTAAAGTGCTAGAAATGTGGTAGAGAATTGCAATACATTCAGAATGAAAGGTAACAAATATGTGAAACTATCTTTTATCTATGCTGCAATATGATGCACCCAAGAAAAATTTATTTTTCTAAATCAGTATGTCTCTACCCTTCTTTTTTGGGGAAGAGGGCATGAACCCCTTTCTCCATCGCTAAAGAATCATTTCCCCCTTTCTAAAATTCGAAAAAGGCATATACATTTATTTAAATTTGGATTATTCTTATATGTGTTTTATTAATTAAACAACAAAATCAAAACTTGAATAAATGTAGTTTTTTATATTCAGATGCTAAAACTAAAACCTTAACAGCTAATTAAAAGGCTGAATGCTTTTCCCCTCCCAAACTGTGAAATTCATCCTTAAGGGGGAGAATCCCCCCTGGTTGAGGACCCCTATTAATGCAAAAACGAACTTAATACGCTTTATCAGTTTGAGGTCACTTTTTTGAGACAATAACTAACTGCCCCTCTAAATCTGCATAATAATAGGACATTTACTTAGTCCAGACTTATGCTATTAATTTGAAACTTCAATCTAATTTGAACGACAAAATACACAATACGTACCCTTGTTTGGCGCTTTAACACTTTGGCTCTTTCACGGCGACTAAGCGTGCTCCAACAATCACTTGTCACACTACAGCTGCAAGATACCTGGCTGTCACCATCATCTTTCCGACGGCGCGGAGTTGGAGCACGTGATACTCTGGCTTGTACTTTATCCAAATAATCTCGAGAATACGATATGTGGCACCGAGACTGAAGCTGGTCCACATGTAACCAATTGTAAACATACGCATGCTGTCGCGCGAGTATTGTTGCCAGTTGATCTTTTTTACCACAATAATGTCGCGCACCGGAAGGCACATGCGGTGGCCATCTCGAATACGGTTTATGCTGAAATTGCAGAGTAGATAATGACCAATCACTGTCATCAGTATCGAATCCGCTTTTCTCTATGTGCCCTCGTCTTCGGGTACAAGGGCATCGAGGGCTTTTATAAGGAAGCTGGCTATCGCAGCAGCTGTTCTGCTTGCTGGAAGACAGTCGATGTTTCTGCCGAAATGTAACAGCCCGATTTTCAGCCACTGCAGCATGCCTTTTGCTAGCATATTTCAAGTCCATAGTTTTAAAAGCATCTACGATTTCTATCAAACGGTGATGGTTAGCTTGTTGCTCTTGCAATTTGGCCTTTGCAAATAACCATTGTGAACCATATCTAGAGCCCCAGAAATCCCTCTGTGCTATCTTTTCTTCGCTACCTGGATTGCCAAGCACAGATTTACTAGACGATTTTGGACGCTTTTTTTTCTTGCATTTAGACTTCTTTCTCTTCCAATAACGTCGCAGTTTCCTCCATAACACGTATTTTAAATAATAAGCGAAAGAATACCGCTTTTTTTTATACGAATAAACAGAATGAACAAACGGAGTTGCTTTCTTCTTTTTCTTTTTACCTTTGTACATGGCTGGATAGATTACGGGCGGATATTGTGGAATCATAACGTTATAGTAAAACATGATCAAATCATTTCTCAGTTATATATTATCTACTCAGCAAGTGGCTATTTATATTATCGGTATATTCAAACGGCTCTTAGAGTGCTTAGGAAGTGGGCTTTGCTTCTTAATTGAGAGAAGGGACAAAAATTGCAAAAACTTGCTATCCATAAATTTTGCCTTTAAATATTTGTTTATAAATAAAATAATCTCTTCTGGTCTTCTTGAATATAAACTCAACAGTGAAACGGATGAGGAAATATTAACACTTGTTATCCACAGATTCAAAGACTGAAAGTAAAATTAATGTAGTGAAATTTAATGCACAAGCAAAATTCTGTTTGTCAGAAGTATTATGTTCATTTTTAACAAATCAAAACTTCTATGAACAGCTAGTACAGTACAATCATTCAGTTACAGTATCTAATCAGCTAGGAAAGGCATATGATGTACGCAGTATATGAAATAATTCTGATCTATCCAAGTCTAATGATCCACTATGGTATCAAAATTTTACTAACGAATTATATTTGAAGTAGCTAGCTATTACAGAAGTACAGTGATGACAAATTACTCGCATGCACAGATAATACATTAAAAGTCCAGATTTTTCTTTTTCCATTGCAACGTAATCAGAAATTCGATTACAGAGAATTCACAACACTATCCACGATGTCTCAGTGTAAACATATCCTTCTCAGAAAATGTAGCATATCACCCACATAAAGGTTCATAAAATCTAAAACTTTTAAAAACTGAAGTAAAATAAAATTCCCTTGATGGTATATAATCTGCTAAAAACAACAAACGAAGCAACAGCGTTTTTCTCTGTAACTTGATTCTTTGCACTCTTTCACAACATGTCTCTCGAAACGAAAACGACGCTGACGAAACCTTCGGCAAAAGCCTTCTAAATTCAGCACGTGCGTTCTTTCATCGCTCAAACACTAGCAACGCAACAACTGAAACCTTTCCAACACCTATCGATCGAAGCAGAATGAAAAAGTGAAGAACCTGAACTAGAGAAAAAGTGAGGGTAGGGATGACGGGCGCTCCACCTAGCGCCCAAAATCTGGCCTCCTGTGACCTCCAAAGACGATTCAGTAGACAACGTACGGCGGCACAGGAGAAAAAAAAGATGATGGTGAAGTTCTCTCGTTTGCAAAGATGTTATTAATAAGCAGAATTGATTTTCTGAGGTAAAAATTTACAGCTAATACATCCGACAAGTGATGAAATAAACGGGTAACTGCAATTTTATAATGGAAACTAAATTTATACATATTTCTGTTAAAGGCAGAGCACAATCTTGCAATCGAAAAATACTCTCATTTCAGGCAACACTTGATTGGTTTTGGTTTAGTTTATTTATTAGTTTATTTAATTACGGCAAAACACTCGAGGGATACGGGGAAGGATGCCTCCGTGAAGGAGTGTCTAAGGAAAACTGGCTCCTATACACGTTACACATGGGAAAAACCACGAAAATGCCCAAGCAGCCAGTCCGTTTGCTGGACTGAACTACCAGTGTTCAGTGATTTTACCGCTCGGCCACTGGTGAGCCCAGTTACTCTTGAAGAAACAGCCTAAGTAATATTCCTCTTGAAGTAATATATGTATGTAAATAAAGCGAAATCTATAATAGATATATTTTTTATGTTTTAAATGTTAAATAATTGTTCCATATGACCATAATTTCTGAGCTACAAAAGACTTTTTTCAATATTTTTTTTATTTTCGTCCTTTAAAAAAAATTATTATTATTTTCCTCCTATAGTATCTTGGGCCATATATTATAAAGGGGTTATTAGCCAGTTTTAGCTATTTTCCCAAGACAAAAAAAAAAAAAAAAACTGTAGTAACTTTAAACTATACAATTAAATTTTAAAAATAATTTCAAAGTATTTTTTTTTTTTTTTTTTCATGATATTTAAGCAGTGGACCCATTGCTGGACACGCTTATCACGCTTATTAACACACTACATGGTTTGTTGGTGCATATGTACTTAAAATAAATGTTCACTTTTTTCAGCACAATATGATAGAATTATATATAGAACAGAAGAATTGTTACCATTTCTAATATTATACAACTGGCCTAGATCTGAAATATAATAAAATGAAATGCGAAAAACGAAAACTAAGGTAGAATTATTTCTAATTTCCTTTTGTATTGGAAATAAATACTGAAGAAACTTTTTCTTACTAATTCTGAATTTTTTTTTAAAACCATTACTAATTTGCTGAATATATTGCAAACAAATTACACAGCAAACCAGAATACTAAAAATTCCCTTAATCATCATCTTATATACAAAATTTAAGAATGAAATCACTGCATGAAAAACTAGAGCTCATCAAAGGAAATTGTCCCGGAATTATCAATATTTAGATAAAATAATTCGCAAATTACTAGATATCTTTACCAAGAGACGAAATGACGATAATATAACAAATTACACCACCATGAAAAGACAATTACGATGAAATGGGCGTATTTTGCGAAGAACTTCTTGGTGTTTGAAAATTCATGCTCTGCTCAAGACTTGAAGTAAAAATATGCTGACAAATAGTATCTTGCACGAAATTCTTGGCTCATAAACATTTAAAAGATTTTAATACTAATAATAAAACTGCGCTTCTAAACATTTAGATTACTGCTTTCTTACAGTTCATAAAACAATTAACTTTCATTGTATTAGATAAATTTCAAAACTTTTGCAGAAAATAACTTTCTTTAGTACATGTAACAAAGTTTTTAAATGATAGAGAAAACCCATCGATAATCATCTAGTACAAAACCCTCACAATTAAAAATCTTGTCGGACGATATACACGGTACAGGTGAAATCAGAAAAGAAACTATGCAATAAATATGCAGCTGAAAATTCGTATTTTGAAATGCAAGTAACGTCAGTATCATGCGAATCTCTTGACTGTCTGGATAAGAGATGCAGAGACCAGTCCATCCTCTTTTCTCAGAGAAGAGCCAAGTTTTAAGTGAAAGAATTACGCTCCCTTCTTATGGCAATTTAATAGGAACATAAAAAGAAGTTCTTAATAACAGGATACTCCCGACACCGCAGAGAAGAGGGGTGAAGGAAGGGGTAGTTCAGAATTCTATTCAAATCCGTACAGAGGTTCAGCAAAGTTGTACGGCCAACGAAGCGTGACCATTACTTAACAAAGTTTGCTGTAAACATCGTCCAGGTGCGACTGAGACTGGTTCTGAGCTTCGTGGAGAACAAACAAAAGGACGAGCGCAGACAAATTTCCTTTTATTTTTAGGCACCCGCACGATTTGCAAATAGTGAAAAAGCAGAAAATGCGATTCAGATCCGACTCACTTCTGAATTATTGAAGTTACATCGATGTTCATTATTAATTAGTAGCAGCAGAAGGTAGCAGAATTTTCTGCGACACTATTAACACCACGTCAGCAATATGCATGATGCTAAAAAATCATACATATTGGTACTTAATACATTACAGCAAAATTCGATTAACTACGACAATATGGACTGATAATAAGTAAACATTCGGTTAAACTCGAGGACGATGCCATTGAGGATATGAAAAACTTCACCAATTCATAAAGCGCAGTTCACATTTTAGCCACCATTTAAAATTAATAGTGTGTTCATTACACTTATTTTTTGTATTACACCTCTTACTATGCAGCTAATAATAGGTAAAACAATTTTAGGAATAAAAATAAGTACTGTTCACATTACAACATAACTAATATGCCGGATACGAAAACTGGAAATAAAATGATAAAAGGTTTTTTTAAAAAAAGAAAAACTTTTGTAACGCATTCTATAGTTTTTTTAAACTTTTAAAGCGCAATGTTTCTAAATCGTCTCTACATCAAAATGTCAGCTGATGCAGTTTCTTCCTACTGGTCATACAGCTAGAGTTATTTTTAATGGCTTAAATAATGTGTTTAAGAAAACAGAGAGCGGATTGTCTGTATACAATATTTAGGTCAAAGCATTAATGAAAAACAAGAAAAATAGAGATCTGCCTTATAGCAAATCCCAGCTTTGCTTCCGCTGGTGTGGAACTTTCGTTAATCGACGTTTTATTGGAGTTTATTCGATGTAAACAAAATGCATTCAGGGAAAAGGTAGTGAGAACTCTATTTGAAGATGAATATTCAAACGTCTTGTTTGATGAAACAAGAAAATGGTATTAAAATTTCTTGCTTTCTCTAACAGCAATATTATTGAAATGTAATTCTTGCTTAATTTTACAGTAATATGCTCTTCAAATTTTAATTGGCAAAGGACGAAAAGAAATAATGAAGAGAGTGCACTATGTTTACCTAACACATATTCGTACGGAGAAAAAAAAAAAAAAAAAGTAATACAGTCAAAAGTCTTTAATCCGGACTCGTCGGGACTTCGGCGATTCCGGATTATCGATTTTTCCGGATTATAGATCATCAGTTTAAATCTGGTAAGACGGCATGCAGAAATTATAAAATTAAAAATATGAAACCGTAATTTATAAAATAATGAGCAATTATGATCTAAATAGTATCAAAATTTACAAAAAAAAAAAAAAAAAAAAAAAGCTTAATATTTATTTGTTTACTGTATTAAACATTTCTTTCAACGCGCGCGTGCGTAAAGCATACATTACGCATAGCCGAAATTAGCAAATTGCAACCAGAAAACTATTTGATTTGTATTCGTGATATTTATGATGACAACGAATTTGATTTAAATCATATCAAAGACGGAGTACATCGAGATGAAATACTACATTTAGTAAGGAATTATAAGCCGAATAAAATAAAAACATCTGCCCTGACGATAACGATAGTGCTGACAGATCAAATTCCAGTTCATTGCGCGCCGCAACGTTCCCCCTCCCCCCCGTGCAGAGCAGCGTGAAATTGATAAACAGATCGGAACGGTTGGATAAACAAAGGATATGCCTTTATCCATTTTTTGCAGCAATTCCACTTTTTGTTTGATGGACATCGAAACATACTTTCGTTTTGTAGATCCTTTGGGAGCTCCAGCATCGGAAATTCTATTTGACATAATCGAAAGTTCAAGCTTACTTTTATAAAATTGCTCTTACAGACTGCAAAAAATAATAAATTCGGATCCAATTCGAAGATTAAAGGAACAACGCAATCTGCAACATTAACTGAAATAGATAATTTTAGCTTAGCTTATACCGTCCGTTATACATTAAACGCGCACGCATAAACGTATTCTGCGAATTGCGCAAACGCATATGCGCAGTGCGTAAAGGTCTTGATGCGCACGCGTAAAACGCATATGCGCATGCGCAATTCGTTTGCGCATGCGCAGAAAGTTTTTAGCTTTGAGGTCCGGATTATAGATCATTCCGGATTATGGGTGTCCGAATTAACAACTTTTGACTGTACAGTAAAGACAACTGCCGAAAAAGAAAATATACTATAATAATAACAACAAACGTAAGAAATCTTAAATTTACCTTTCATAACATCAATTTCACAATAATATGTGTAAGAAATGAAACTTTTTACGGGAGAAAGTTATTTCTGTAAAAGCAATGCACAAGTTTTTTTTTTTTTTTTTTTTTTAATTGTAGAAACACAGATTATCATTTCCTCTCCAAGGACATATAAATAAGAAAACTGCCTTTCACATGAAGACCGGATAACTGATTTCGATGAGAAAACGAACTTAGTCTGCCGATTGATAAGAGAATTAATTGTATTAATATTAAATTACTGAAAATTAGGTAGTTCAATAGCTGATTTATTAGGATTATTGAAAATGATAGTAAAGATGTGGAATCAAAGAACAGAATGTGATGCAAAAGAGAAAAGCTGTAGATTTTTCCATTACAGATCTCACACAAAACACTTTCATACTAAAATATTCAGCAAACGGAAGACTTTAGAATTCAGACTTGAATTTCTAATGAATAAAGTTCT